TTTATTTGAGAGAGAGAGAGCAGGTGTGCACAGGAGTGGGGAGGGGGGCAGAGGGAGAGAGAGAGAAGGCAGACTCCCCTGCTGAGCAGGGAGCCTGCCCAGGGACTTGATCCCAGGAATCCAGGATCACGACCTGAGCTGAAGGCAGATGCTTAACTGACTGAGCCACCCAGGCGCCCCCCCTTTTCACCTTTATTAAGTGTAATTGGAGTTAGACTAAGTTGCACATATGTTAAGTGCATGCTTTGTGCAGTTTTGACAAGTGTGTAAATCTATGAAACCATGACCACAGTCAAGACGATGAACATATATCACCACCCCCACCAGTGTCCTGCATCCCTTTACAGCACCCCCTTCTCTGCACTTTTCATTGCCAGGCAACCTGATCTGCTTTCTGTCACTAAAAATAGTTTGCATGTTCCAGAATGTTATACGTAAGCTTTGTGCTTGGCTTCTTCCACTCAGCATGATGATTCTGAGATTGTTCCAAGTTGTTGCATGTATCAGTAGTTCATTACCACTTTTTTTCTTTTAGAGAGGGAGAGAGAGAAAGAGAGAGAGAGAGAGCATGAGCACTTGTGCATGCGTGAGTAGGGGAGGGGCAGAGAGAGAGAGGGATAGAGAGACTCCCAAGCCGGCTCCACGCTCCGCACCAGCCCAGTGCCAGGCTCCATCTCAGGACCCTGAGATCATGACCTGAGCCGAAATCAAAAGTTGGATGCTTGGGGCGCCTGGGTGGCTCAGTTGTTAAGCATCTGCCTTTGGCTCAGGTCATGATCCTGGGGTCCTGGGATCGAGCCCTGCATCGGGCTCCTTGGTCAGCAGGGAGCCTGCTTCTCCCTCTCCCTCTCCCCCTGCTTGTGTTCCCTCTCTCGCTGTCTCTGTCTCTCTCTCTCTGTCAAATAAATAAATAAAATCTTAAAAAAAAAAAAAAAGAAACAATGGCTGAAAAATTCCCCAAATTGGGAAATATATGGAAATCTTGGGACATGAAGCTTAAAGTCCCCTGTAAGATTGAATCCAAAAAAGACTTCACCAAGACACATTATAATAAAAAAAAAAATTGTCAAAAATTAAAAAAAGACCAAAAAAAAAAAAAGTGTCTGTGCCCAGCTGGGACCTCAGAGAGTCGTCAGTCTCCAGTCTGGTCTGGGGGACATGGTGGGACAGATGGAGGGATGGGGGCTAGGGCAGTCTAGAGAGGGGAGGCACATGTTTGGTGTGTGGGGAGTCTGGGAAGGGAAGCAGGGAGGGCTTCCTGGAGCAGAAGCATTGGTTGGCTTCTCCCAGGGCAGAGGGATGTCAGCTCCACCTCTTTGCAGGACCCTCTCTATGGTTTTACTCACTCCATCAGGTTCATCCGGGAGTGGTTCTGGGCAATCTCAAACATGTGCCTGGGCCCACCCACCAGCATGATCCCGCGGGCCAGGACAACCCAGAAGCCAGTTAGCATCACCACGACCTGGAACACATCAGTCCAGACCACAGCCTTCATGCCGCCCTGCAAGATGTGACAGACAGGGAGGCAGGGGGTCAGATAGGGATCTGTCTGAGGCCAACCCAGTTTGGCTTTCAGCAGTGGCTGGGACTGATGCCTCTCTCTGCCGGTTTCCTCATCCGGAAAATGGTGTTGTTGTGAGGATTTAATTAGTTCGTATGAGGAAAATCTTTGCAATAGCACCTACCACATACAAGTTCAGTGAGTGAATGAGTGATGGCTGCCAGCATTATCATTACTACCATGACGATTGTTCTTAGTTATTGCTTTTACCCTTCCAGCCTCCATACCGCTGCCTTCCCATGCGAGCCCCTTGATTTGCCTTTGGAGAAGCCCCTTCTCCCTCAAAGGCCATCCACTGGAAGCCAATCGACTCCCAGCTCCAGAAATAGCCAACCAGAACATCTTCCCCAGCGCCCCAAACTTCTGTGACTGGTTCATCCTGCACACTGGGGCCAGCCAACCGGAACCCTCCTGGGGCGTTTGCCAGCCCATCCTGAAATAGGAACTCACTTTCTGAGCTGATGGGACCCCAAGAGATGGGATAGGGGCCCAGAGGATGCTGTTGTAGCCCCTGGGTCCAGCCAGTCCTGAACCTAGCATATCCCTGGACTCTCAGCAATAAGCCTTTCAAATGACTTGTTATTAAGATGAGGAAACAGAGGCCCAGCTGGGATGCAGGTTTCCTCAGCAGAAAGGGCAAGTAAGGAGTGGATGATGGCTTCAGGGTCTCCCCCACCCAGTGGGCATGGAGCCCCCACGTGGGGTGGGGGTGTCACTCACCACAGTCGTGTAGAAGGTACAGATGGCTCCAGTGGACAGCAGCGAGGCCCAGATGTCCAACCCAGTCACTGCACAAGGAAACCCCTCCACCATTAGGCCTCCAGGCAGGGTGCAAACTTGGCCCCTAGTGTCTAGGGTCCTCATCTCTTCGGGATTCTTCCCTCCCCAAGTCTCTCCTGGGGCTGCCCCTCCCCTCTCCTTCGGTCTAGTCTCAAAGGCTTTGCTCCCTCCCGGTCACCCTCCCGAGATCTCCCAGAGTCAAACCTTGATTCAGGATGAGCGCGGGGGCGTAGATCACGATGCCAGTATACAGCACCTATGGGCAGAGAGCCGGGACCGGGTGAGGCCCGCGGAGGACGGGAAGGGGTTAGGAAGAGAATGGTGGTGGCGGAGCTTGCGGTGTCCGGCCAGCAGGGGATCCGGAGCAGGGTGGGGGCGGGGTCAGGCCGGGCGTATGGGGGCGGGTCTTCGGACCGCAGGGGGCGTGGCCAGAAAGGTTGAGGATGGGCCTGGGAAGGGCCTTACAGGATGGGGGTGGGACCCACAGGGCGGGGCCGTGACGGAAGGGGGCGGGCTGCGGGCGGGGCCGACGGAGACCCGGACCCGGGCGGGATCTGAGCCAGACCCTGAGGGCGAGGGCGGGGCCGAGGCCACTCACTGTGGCTACCAGGTACTGCAGGGTCCCGCAGAGCCGCACACCGCGGCTGAAGCGCAGCTCCAGGTACTGCAAGGAGGAGCCGAGGCCCGTGGTCACCTGGACAGGTCCTACCCAGGAGATCGAGGCCTCTGGGGTACTTCACCCGCCCTCGTGGCTTCTGCCCTCCCTCCGGAGGCCAACTTCTCTCTCCCCTCTTGCCCGTGGGGGGCCCCCGCCAAGCGCACAGATTCCGATCAGTGTGCACACACCTGTCTGTGCACACGCGCCATCCCCGCATCCCCGCACACCAAGTGTGCCCAGGAAGACGGATCCGTCAAAGGTGCACGTTCTTCCGCCCCCACTGGTGGCTAATTGGTCCCGGGGGGTGGTGCCGCTCTGAGTCAACAAGCGGACTCTACACAGCCTGTGGCCAACTGTTCTTGGTCGCCTACTGTCTACCGGTCATGATTTTAATCACTTTACCCCCTGCCCTGGAGGGAAGTCCTCTTATTAGCCCAGTTAGACACTTGGGAGGCCCGAGCAGAGTAAGCGGGGAAGCCGGGTTTCGAACCGTTGACCCCTGTCCGGCGATCGCTCAGCTGTGCGGGGCGCAGGTTCGTGCCTGTCCACACTTGGTGCACGCCTGGCTCCGCCTTGCGCGGGCTTCCACCGAGGAGAACCAGGACGGCGGCTCCTCTTCCTCCTTCCTGCCCCTCACCCCGCTGCCTGGGGCTACTTCCCAGAACCCTGCGCACCTGTCTACCCCGTTAAAGCCGCAAGGAGCCCGCCGGCGGCCCCCCGTACAGCACGTCAAAGCCCCAGGACCTCCCGGCCACATCCCTGCGTTCTCAGCCAGGCAGGTCTTGCCTCCGGGCCTCTGCCCGGTACCTGGTAGGTGCTGGTGAGGCCCAGGCGGTAGAAGACGGGCATGAAGAGCTGGGCGGTGAGCAGGCAGTTGAGCAACTGTCCCAGGCACATCCAGAGGAACTTGAAGCCGTAGCGGTAGGCCTCGGCGGGCACGCCCAGCACCTGTACGGCCGACATGAAGCTGGCGGCCAGCGAGAGGCCGACGGGCAGGGCGGCCAGGCGCCGGCCCCCGGTGAAGAAGTCCTCGGCGCTGCGCTGCCCGCCCCGCGCCAGCCCGACCCACAGCCCGATGCCTGTGGACACCAGCAGCATGAGGGCGAAGACCGCGTAATCCCAGGCTCCGAACGTGGCCCGCGCTCCAGCCTCGACGACCGCCATGAGGTGCAGGTGCAGGGGCCAAGCGCGTCCTCCGCCCTTCCAGCCACCCCGCGTGCCACCCCCACCCCCTCACCCCCGGTAAGGGAAACTGGCAGCGACCGAGGAGGCAGGGCTGCGTGGAGATGGGAGGATGCTTGGTCTCTGCAGCGAGGCCGCACACCTGTCTCCTTCGGCCCCTGGAGGGAGGGAGCGGAAGGGACTCGGGCGGGGGCTCCCTGGGCAGGGAATCTGTGGATCCTCGCTGCGGTCGTCTGCCTCCCTGGCCCTCCTCTTCGTCTACGCGTCTGCCTCTGCCGCCTGTCCGTCGGTGCACCTCGCCTCCCGCTCGGTAAGGCTGGCCCCTTGCAGCGGTGTGTCGGCCGCCCAGCCGTCGGTCCCTCTCCCTGGGAGCTGTGCTCGGCGCTCGGACCTTGACTGGAGGTCTCCGTAGGGCTTAAAGGGGTGGCTCCCGGCGACCGGCTGTGGATTTATTGGGCTCCCGGGTCCGCGAAACCCCGCCCCTGGAGTTGGGGGCGGGCAGGACCCGCACCCTTTCCGCCCGGGACTGGGTCAGATAGGCCAAGACCGGCCACGTGGGTGGCTGCTGGGGGTGGGGGTGGGGATGGGGTGCGGCTCCCAAATACCCCCTCTTACTTCGGTGGCACTTTCCCCTCACCCCGAGCTGTTAATGTCTCCCGTTGACAGGTGGGGAACTGAGGCTCCAAGACGGCATATCACACTCACCTGGAGCCACACGGCTGGAAGCCGTGGCTTCAGCATTCAAATCCCCGCTGTGCTTTTGTACCTTAAGCTAAGGGGAGCTCACTCTCCCACAAGCCAGGGGTTCATTTTCTGGGTTGCCCTGCCGCTTGAGGAAAACTCGTTCTGCTTGGAACCCGCCCCCCCCCCAACTGGCACCTGCAGCCATTCCCTTTCTTCAGAACCTAGCGGGAGGAAATCACCAAACCCCACCCCCAGACTAAGCTGAGTGGGAGACATTGGGGTTCAGGTCCTAAATGCAGACATACTTGGGGGAGTCTTTGCTTGTCATTGTACCTCAGTTTCCCTATCTGTAAATGGAGATAAAGTAGCCCCTGCCCTGAGGAATAAATCGAGCCTACATAATACGAGCCTGGCACAGAGTAAAGCCTTCATTCATTCATGTCTTCATTCATTTGTTGTTTCCTGTGCCAAACACTCACGGAGCGTCTGTCCTGGGCCAGGTGTTAAGTGTATAATGGAGGTCATGGGGGAGGGACTGTCAGTGGCCTCGAATCCGAATAAATGGGGGGGCCCAGGACTCCTTGGGAGGGAGTGTCTGACATGGTTCCCCATCGCGCAAATGAGGAGATCCAGGTTGGGGAGGGGAAATCCCTTGCCTGGGGTCATGCCACCAAGGGACCCAGACACTGTCGTCTTGGGCCCTTCGCTGGTGGACTTGAGGGACTTTGGCCTCTGGAGGCTCTGACCTCTGGGTTCCAGTCCCGAAACGGGGTTCCCTCTTCCACAAGCGGGAGGGATCTAAGACCTCCGCCGGGTTGAACCCGAGGGCCCTGGAGTCCGGTCCAAGCCTCTGCCGCCTCCTGGTGGTCTCCGGCCAACTCGCGACACTCCAGTTTGGTCCAGCATCTCCCAAGCATCCCTTCGTGCCCCCTCCCAACCCCACCCCCGGCTCTCGCTCTCCGCGCGCTGGGCGGGGCCGGCCTGCACTCCCCCCACCCCGGGACTGCGACAGGGCGGTTGACACCCGCCGTTGCCCGCCAATATGCACTCCGCCACCCCGGCCAGGAGGGTGCGGAGAGGGCACTGAGTTCCTTTTCCTTCCCCCGCCTTCATTTTTTTCCAGGCCCGTATGCGCTGTACCCATCTGGAGAATCTGGTGGGAAAGGATAAATCCTGGAGGGGATCCCCTTCCCGAAAAGCCATGCAAGCGAATGCAAATATATGCAAATTATTGCAGCGCGCACAAACCCGGTCCTCCCTCCCCAGGGAGGTTCTGGGAGTGGTTACCATCCCCACTGCCAGCCTGGCTCTTCCTCTGTGAGGTGGGAGGCTACAGACTGACGCTTGGGCTGAGGCCCGATCATTGAGCACCTACTGTGTGCAGGACCATGCACCTGCTGCTGGGGACACAGCAGGATCACAGGCACTTGACGATGACTGAGCCAGGAGGTGAACACACATTTCCCAAGCTGATGGTTGAGGAGTGAAGCAAAGTCAGAGAGGGAGCTGGCCTGGCGGACGACTTTATGTGGGCCTCTGGGAGGGGAACTCTTGGAGGAGGTGAGTGCAGACCTGGCAGGCAGAGGTTGAGTCAAGCTTGGAGAGATGCAGGGGGAACAGCCAGTGCAAAGGCCCTGAGGTCAAGTGGAGTGAGCAGAGTGAGTGAGGACAGCGAAGGCCACAAGGGACCTTGAGCCTTGGCCAAGGGTGTGGATTTTATTCTGAGGGCGCTGGGGGGGCCACTGGAGAGTTTGGAGCCAGAGGGACTTAATGAGATTTATAGACTCTGAAAAGCCCGCCATGTCCATGGTAGCGACCGTGGGGTGGGGATGGATTCAGAACGTGTTCTGGAATTCCAGGATTTGACAGGAGGCCCAGAGTTGGGAACCCTGAGGGGTGGGTGGGACCCTCTTCTCTGGGGTTGGAGGGGTACAGGAAGTGGGTTGGGGAGATGCAGTGGCACCTTCCCCGACTGTACAGTTCCCATATGGGCAGAGGGCAGGCAGGACCCCGTTGGTGAAGGGGGAGGGGCAGGGAGCTCCCTGACGGCCCACAGCTGCAGTCTGAGCACCCAGGGCAGGAACGTCAGGGTGTTGCATGGCTATTTGCTGTGCGCACCCCTGCCTGCTGCCCGGGCACCCCCAGGGCTCTCATGGCTCCCTGGAGACATGGCAGGGGTCGGGGTGAGAGGCTGTGAGCTACTCTGGCTCCAGCATGACCTTCTGGGTGTCTGGTCTTGAACTTCTCCCTTGCACTCAGTAAAAGCAAACCATTCTTTTTTTTTTTTTTAACATTTTATTTGACAGAGACACAGCGAGAGAGGGAACACAAGCTGCGGGAGTGGAAGAGGGAGAAGCAGGCTTCCCGCTGAGCAGGGAGCCCGATGCGGGGCTCGATCCCAGGGCCCTGGGATCATTACCTGAGCTGAAGGCAGATGCTTAACCCACTGAGCCACCCAGGCGCCCCAAAAGCAAACCATTCTTACTAATGGTGCCGTAGCTTCCTGTGAGAGTCCACCATTCTTAAGTCCTGAGGATCCCAACAGTGATTCTAGGATTCCATGATTCTCAGGTAGTCTCTCCTGGTTTCAGGATCCAGGTCAGGTCTTCTGGGGCCCCTGCCTGTCTTGTCTTGCCTTAGTGCCTGCCTGCCCTTGCCAGATGGTCCTGACTCAGGAGCCCCTGGGGTACAGGGAGGGGCAGCTTGTGATCTCTCCCCCAGGGCTCCCAGTCCTGCCGGGAATGGCACCTGAACAAACACAGGGACAGGGCCTGGGAGCACCCAGCCAACCAGAGGGGTGTCAGCGATCCCGGAGGCAGGGGCCTTGTGGGCCTCACACCAAAGGGCTCATTATCTTATCTCCGGTTTTTGTTCTTCTTCTCCTTGGTTCACGCACCTCAACTATCTCTGCGGAGAGCTCAGTTCAGCAGTCCCCATCTCCAGCCAGCGTCCTGGCAACTGCTCTGTGCAGGGTTTGGTGGGGGGGAGAGGGGGAGATGCCCAGGTGGATGGTTACATGGTAGAGGGGTCCGTGGGCGGGGTGGGTGGATGACTAGATGTAAGTTAGGGAGCTGGCGCTCACTCATCCTCAGTTCAAAGGTGCCTCAATAAGGGACTGACCCCACCCTTTGGCTGGTTGGGGCAGAGCCCTCCCACCTGGTTCCCAGGCTGTAACATGGATGAAGCCTTGATGAAGACCCAAGGTGGGGATGGGGGTGCACAGTGGGCCTTTGTGGGGCTGGGGCCTTCCACTTTCCTGGTGACATATCCTATCTCTAGTTCATCTTAAGTCTTCCCACACCCAGAACCAACCCCGCCTTACACAGGAAGAAACTAAAGCTGAGTGGGTAGTGACCTGCCCCAGGCACAACCATTAGGGCCCACCTCAGGGCCAAGTCACGAGTGACGACGGAAAGCCTCCAGATTACAGCCGAAGCAGGACTGGTGTTTCCTTCTCCCCTTTTCTCATCACACAGACACAGGGTCAGATACCCAAAGTCCTTCTACCTTGCTGCTCCAGTGTGGCTTCTTAATGGCCAAAGATGGCTGCTGGAGCACCAGACATTGTGCCTATATTCCAGCCAGATGGGTATTTCCTGGAAATGGCACACATTGCTACTGCTAATATCACATGGTTACCCCTAAATGCAAAGAAGGCTGGGAAATGTATTTTTTTTCGTGGGTGGCATCTAGATATGGACATCCTGTTACCGAGGAAGGAGTATTTGGGGGCAACTAGAGGTTTCTGCCTTAAGCCATAAAAGATTAATACCAACAAGGCAAAAAATTCAAAAATTCTAGCCTGGCCCCAAAATATACCTTAAAAAACATCAAGTGCCCTGGAAGAAAGAATTTGCACCGTATTTGGGGGAAAACATGTTATTTTTTTTCCACGTTTTTGCACCACATATGAAAGGAGCTTTTACAAAACAGTAAGTTAAAAAATGACCAGCAACCCCATAAAGGAGCCAAGGCCAAACAAATTGAGAGAAGTGCCTGCTTCATAAGAAGAAAAGGCAAATATAAATCCCCAAGATGGGATTTTTTTTTTCAGCCATCGAAGTTTGCTTCTTATGAAATGCTATTGGGAGAGTAAATTGGTATGCCTGCGGGGTGGTGGTAGGGATCTTGGCAGGGTCAAAAATAAAAAACCTGGGTCCAGGAATGCCAGACCCAGGAGATTATCACTGTCCTTCCGCCATGTGGAGCGAACAAAGGGAAGGATATCCAAAGGCCGTCCCTACCCTTTTCTGGGTCTGACTTCTTGAACCGGGGCCAAGCAGGGACACAAAAAAGCCACTGTCACTGGAATACACGTGTGGCTTACAACTTCAGGGAGGCCAAACCAGTGATGATCTGGAACGGAACAGTCCAGCCAGGAGGCTCAGCAAGTGCAAAGGCGTGGAGGTGGGAAGGAACTGTTTCAGAGCAGTGGGCAAAGCAGCGAATGCCGGTCCAGGAAGCCGGGTACCCTGTCCTCGGGACTTTCTGGGGAAGCGGCTGGCTGTGCCCCAGCTCTGCCTCGGGCACCTCTCCAAACACAGGTGGGGTCTGAAGTGACCTGGTTTTCTGGAAACCACCGGGACTGATCATGCCAATGAGCCACCCCCACCTCAAGTGGGGGAAGAGAAGCTGGACCCTGGCCTGGGACACTCCAGGCCTGACTGCTCCCCAGACCCCCACTCCACGCTGCCTTCTTGCTCCCTGGGTTTCTTCCCATTCCATGGCTCTCTGGAATAGAAGGCAGATCTTGATTGACCTTTGCCCCCAGGGCCTATAGTTGTCGCACTCCAAGTATCGTCAACTGAGTAAATCTGCCGAGTGCCCTAACTTTCTGATGAGGACTCACTCAGTGGGCCAGAGCTGCCAAGGTCACACACCAAGGACAGATGCTTCCCAAGATCTGCCCTCCTAGTTGTGCTTCAGCCTCCTGATTGAGGGGCTCAGCCAGCGTGGGATTAGCTTCATGCCTGGAACTCTCCAGGGCCTCAAGTGGTTTCCTGGAGACAGATACCCATGGTGAGCCCTTGACTTTCTGGGGCAGGATCAGGGAGTCCTTCAAGGGGCCCCCTAGTAAAGGAGGAACCACCACAGCAGAGCATGCTCATGGCCCTCTCCGGCGCCCCCTGGTGTCTGCTCTGAGGATCCTGGAACCAAAGATAGGTTCTGAGCCTGGAGGGAAGAGGGGAAATCCCACAGGTGGACCAAAACCAACCCCATCATCCTGACTTCTTCTAGGCATCTAACATCTGATGGCCACATCTTACCCAAACCGTGGCGGCTGGGGGCGGGAAAGCTGAGGCCTGTGTCTAACATGGAAGATGGGATAGGTTTAGGGGCCAAACCTTGTGGCCTGCAAGGCATCCCAAAGCTCACAGGGGCGGGCCACCTGATGGGGCTGAAAACCAGGCCTTCTGGCTCTAGGACCCTGCCCGTGACAGCCCCTTGCTGGATGAAGCCCTGGGGAGCTAAGTGGGCAGGAGGGAGCTTGGGGGTGTGGGCTTTGCCATTCTTGGGGCTCCCCTTCTGGAGAAATCAGGTGCCTGGGCCCCACTTCGAGAGAGGAGGACCCCTCCCCAAGCAGAGGACTCACAGCTTGGCTGTGCCCTTTTGAGTTCTGCAGGGCATACAAAGAAAACAAGAGTGTCTGAGCACCTTGGTTTTCCCGAAGAGTTTATTTGAGCAGACCTGGAGACAGGGAGGCTCTGCATCTAAAAGAAGGTGTTGGGCCTCTTGGTGGTGAAGCGTGGCTTGTGCTGGCGACGCAGGACCCGGTGGGGCAGCGGGAACTTGATCTTGGAGTCCTGCAATAAGGACAGGTGGGTGAGGGGGGTGGAAGCCTCTCAACCTTGTCTTCCAAGGGCCACTGAGGTGTGGCCACCCCCCACCAGGCTCCTGCGTCAAACCCAGTGCCTCCCTGTAGCTCCCAAGGCTGGGGGATAGAGGAGCAGCTGGGCCAGCTCCATGTTCCAGGGGAGCCCCCCTCTGCCAAGCCCACCCAGCAGGGCCCCCAGGGCACTCACGTGGAACTGCTTGACGGCTGGTCGGCGGCACTTGCTGGCTGCAATCTCCTCCACCTTCATGATCTGGATCGAGTGGGCCCGGGCACGGTGTCGGGCGCCCATGTCTCTGTCTGCAGGGAAGGAGGTAGGGCGAATGTGCACCCCGGGGTCTGGGCATTCCTCAAACCTCCCATCAAGTGCTGGTCTAGAGGAACCCCAACTTGGGGACTGGGTGGCCGTAGTCTCTGGCCCCAGCAGGCACTGGCTTATCAGGCATGTAGAACCTCCAAATTCACTTTGAGGGGCACAGCCACAGCCCCCCAAAGGCGACGAGATCCACTTGCTGTTAGCACCTCTGTTTAAACCGCTGCTATGAGAAGCAGCAGTTCTTGGGTTGAGGTGCTTGGGTTTGGGCCCTGGCAGGTCACCCGCCCTAGGACCACCTGGCGTTACTAGCACCAGATCCCCACAGACAAGGCCTGGGCTAGACTCTGGGTGGGAATTACAGCTGCACGAGTGATGGACCCCAAAGGTCCACCTGCTGCCAGGTTCCAGAAAAAGATGCACCTGGAGCATCCTCTCCACTCCTGCCCCTATGCAAACACCTCTTCTGTGTCCCCCACGAGCACCCCTGGACTCCCCACCCCCCTGATCCCAGAAGCCTCTGGCATTTGCCCTGCCTCAGTCTGCGGGGAGAGAGGGGCGCAGGCCGACTGGGCTGCAGATGCCTGCAACAGGAATCTAAGTGGGGCACTGGGCGCAGGACCCGGCGCCTTACAGCACTGGGTGACGGCGCCCGCCGTGGTCAGGTCCCGGTACTCCCGGTACATGTTGTGGGTGCCGCTGCGTGAGTCATAGCGCAGCCAGATGCCGAAGTTCTTCACCCGCAAGGGGGATTTCTCGAACACCTAGATGCCAAAGACACTGGCTGAAGCAAGGGTGCCGAGCAGGCTTCGACCCGGCTCCGACCCTTGCTGATCCTCTGCCCCAGGCCTCTCTTGCGCCTGTTTCCCAGTCCTCGAATCTGAGAGCGCAGGAAGGCAATCTGCTGTCCTGGACAAATTCCCACGGCAACAGTAGGGCGTACACAGCCGTCCAGGCCGGCACACTTCCCCCATGTGGACCACCAGCTCAACTCCTCCCAAACACTACTCTCCCAAGACTATCTGGGCCCCAAAGCAGCTGCCACCCAGTGCAGCAGTTATGATGCAGAGCCCAGCGCCCATCACAGCAAACGTGCCCGGGTGACAGCACCTCTCCCCACTTCACACATGAGGCCCGGCGAAGGTGTTGGCCTCAGCCAAGGTGTCCGAGCATGCCAGCCACACACTTCCTGGGCCCTGGGCTCTCTCATCAGGAAAAGGGCACTGAGGTATCCATCCCATCCCAACCTAGGGCTTAATTACACAGGCGAATAAGCCAGGGGTTATGAAGTCCGGGAACTCTGTGGGGTGAGGAATGCCCCCACAGGAAGGTGTAAATCCACTCCAGACCCCACCCTGTTCTCAGACTCCCCGTACCTGCCCACAGTAAACAATTTCCCCCGAAGACTTCTTCATCTTTTTCAGCTGAGACACAAAGTACCAGAAGCGGGACTTGGCGACGACGTGATTAGGTGCAAAGATTCGCATGCGATACAGGGGCGGAGTGCGACATTTGGGGGTGGGCAGGCAGCGCCCCACCACCTTGTACTCTCGCAGCTGAAACAGAAAACAGGGGTGAAGTGGGGCCCAACCCAGAGACCTGAGGCAACTGTGAAGATTCACCTTACTCCCTTTCTCGAGCCTGGTGATAACTGGAATCAGGAGAGCGAAAATAGACTGTCCCATCACAGGGCATCCATGGGGAATCCCGGTGACTGCACTGTCCCAGCCTTCCCAGAACAAGGATCGAGGGTGGGAGGATTAAGATGCCTGGGTACCCTTTGCCTTGGCTCGGGAAAGCTGGGCAGGGCTGTCAATCTCGCTGTCCTTCTCTTTCTGTTTATATTCCTGTGAAAAAAGCCGAAGCCTAAACCTGCAGGCTCCTTCCTCCACAGCCACTTTGCAGCTCACATCTTCCCAAAGTCCTCTTTCACTCTGGGGCCCTAAGACAGTGACCAGCCTGGGATCTCACAGCCCACCCCAGGCAGAACGAGAACAAGAATCCAGTTCCCTCCCCAGCCCTGCTGCCATGGGACCTGCAGCTGCTTCAGTATTCCCAGCAGCAGCCCAAAGGGGTTTGGACTTCCCAGTGGACTCTACCTGTTTACACAGATGCAAAAACAAAGATGTCAGCCAGGCCCAAACACTGCAATATAGTACAAAGAATCCGCCCTCGTAAATGACTCGCCATGATTTTAGTAATATGAGGAGATAACCCCAAATATCGCAAACTTGTCTCCTGCTCCCACCTCTCCATGTGACTAATCAGCCCCGCGGACCACCTGTTCAGGAGGGGACCGATGCAGCTGGCCCCTTTCCTAGCGTGGAAACTGAGGCTGGGGAGCTGTACAGGACCCACCCTGTTTCTCCCGAGGGCTTGCTCTTCCATCTCTGCGCCACAGCGCCCTCTGATTTTACCAAGCACTAGTCACAGCGATAAAGTTCCCCGTGTCAGCTCGGGTTTACGGTTTTCTTCTACTTCTCACAACCCCGCCGGGGGAGAAGAAATATTAACGTTTCCTCCCACCACGTCCACTTTGCAAATGGGGAAACCGAGACTTGGAAGATCGACAAAGTCCCGTTGTTTGGAACGTCCAAGCCGCGCAACTTGTCCCTTCCCCTGGAAAGGAGACCCGGCCTCTCTGGCCCCCGCGATTTCCCGGCAGGCCGGGACCACGGCACCAGACTCCCCACGCGGCGCCCGCAATGGCCGCCATGTTGGCTGCACCTGGGGGCGATGGCGCGCGGTGGCGCGGGACCCAGCCAAGAGCGCGCTCCTGCTACGCGGCCCACGCCACCTGCCGGGGCCCCCGATTCGATCTGCACTGCACTCCCCGGCCCCGTGCCCCGCCGCGCTCGCCTTACTGTTCCCGAAGCCTTCATGGCGCACTCTCCGCTCTCGCCGCCACACAAAAAAGGAAGTGGCCGCCCTCGCGCAGCCGCTCACCAAGACTTCGTTGCCGGAAGTCCCGCCTCCTGGAGGCCGCATGCCCATTGGCTTCTCTTTCCGACGCTCAACAAGATTTGCCTTTTCATTGGCTCTAGGTCCACCAACCTTTCACAGTCCTTCCTTCCTCGGCAGCGAGACTACAACTCACAAAAGGGAGCTCCACCAGCCCCTCCCTTTCCACCATGGGCGTAAGGGAGCGTCGTGCGCGGCACGCCGGGAGTTGTAGGCACCCCGGGAGGTCTGGGTGGTAGTTTGAGCGTTGCACCTCCAGGGGATGCTCGCGGGTAGAATTTGTTTATTTCCTTACTGCTTTATATTCCATGAAGTGACTATTTTCTAGTGTAATATTTTAATTCTTTTAATGATTTGTTCTATATATATTTAATATTTTTTCTTTTAAGATTTATTTTTTTAAGTAATCTTGACACCCAAGATAGGGTTTGAACTCACAACCCCGAGATCAAGAGTCTCATGCTCCACCCATGAGCCCGCCAGGTCCCGGGACCCTACTATATTTTTTAAGTTATTTCTTTAGTGGTTGCTCTAGGGCTTAACACATACATCTTAATTTAGAATCTCCTTCAAATTTATGCTGCCTTAATTTTAATGAGATTTAGAAATGTTACTCCTATATAATTCATTTCTTCTGCCCCTTTTTGTCTCATTGTTATTATTGTGCTATTATTGTTATACATATTACATCTATATATGTTACAAACCTAACAATACATTGTTGCAATTGTTACTTAAAATTGTAGAGCTGTTAAAGAATGTGAGAAAATAGAGGAGGGCAACTATGTATTCATAAAGTTTGTTATATTAATTTTATCCATTTGCACTTCTGGTTCTCTTCACTTGTTTTTGTGGATTAGTGTTACTACCTGGTGTCATTTCCTTATTCCTATACTTTGCTCACTTCCTTTGTAATTTATATATATTTTCATACAATTGCTTCTTAAAACAGTTAAGAGACCAAAAAATGCATTTGTGCTGCCTTTTTTTTTTTTTAAAAGATTTTATTTATTTATTTGACAGAGAGACACACAGCGAGAGAGGGAACACAAGGAGGGGAAGTGGGAGAGGGAGAAGCAGGCTTCCTGCGGAGCAGGGATCATGACCAAGGCAGACGCTTAATGACTGAGCCACCCAGGCATCCTTGTGCCACCTTTTATAATTACAGAATTATCTTTGTGGTCTTTCATTTTTCATGAGTGTTAGAATTAACATCTAGGGTCTTTTCGCACATGGGCAGGAAATGAGTTAGTCAGTGCCTTCTTGAAAAATCGGAAAATTGGTTGGAGAGGAGGATGAGGGATGGAGTGTAGTCAGGGGACGAGGCCTGCCTCCTCCCGGCCCTGGACTCCCTTCCCTGCTCAGGACAACAGGCAATAGGCGACTCCCTCCGAACGACACTGCCGCGAGTGTCCACCAGGTGGCAGAAGGCCGAGCTGAGGCCAAGAGCCTGGACGATAGTGCGGGTGGGGAAGGCACAAGTTCATAACCCACAAATAGTTCCCAGGCGCATCATCTCTTTGGGCCTCAGTTTCCCCAACTGTCAGATGAGGCTAATAAGTCCCCAGCTCCTGGAGTTATGAGATTTAAATGGCGTATAATGTTTGGACTGGGGGAGGCAGGGGCCCTAGCCCTGGGGCTGTAGCGCTCCAGTGTGCTTGAACTGTTCTAGCTGGGCCTCAGTTTCCCCAGGCTGCAGTCAGGGAGTGGGAGAGTAGAAAGAGGTACTGGAAAACGAGAGCAGGCCCGCTGCACAAATCGAGTCTGGGAGGGCCAGAGAGGGGCCAGAGGAGGGGGAGCAGGGAGGGCAGGTGAGGAGAAGGGAGAAGGGAGGGGTAGGGAGAGGGAAGGAAGGGCCCCAGGCTCAGCCCCAGCCTTGGAGCCAGGCACTTGTATCTCCAAGGCCTGGGTCAGGGTGACACCCTCAGCTGGAGCCGAAGGAGGAATCCGGGGGCGAGGGGGGGGTGTTGTCTAAAGATTGTTAAGAAACTTTTTCCCCCCTTTTTGGCTCTGCTTGGTGAGTGCTGCCCTGGCCCCTGCCACGCCCCTGACCCTCCCTCCCAGATGCTCTGCTCCTGGCTGCCTCCGCCTGGCCTCCAGCCAAGCAGGGAGCCCAGCTGGGTCAGCTGATCTGGGCTAGGCCCTCTCACTCACTGTCATTCAATCAGGCCGGCCACCCCTGGGCTCCCCTGTTCTCCCAGTCTTTCTTCTTCCCTTGGACCTTGAAGGTGCCCTTTCTTAATCCAGGCTCCTGGGCCACACCCGGCCTCACCCCAGCTTGGATCACCACCCTGGCGGTCATGGCCTGAGTTGCCCCGCCTTCCCCATCTGGGCTACCAGCACCTCCATCTTTCCAGGGCTCCATGCACTGGCCCAAGATTCTGCTCCTGTCCCTTCATCCTGCAAACGCCCCCAAGACACTCACTGCCCTGGACTTCAGATGCCCCAGATGCCACAAGTCCCCGGCCCTGGCCTCCTGCCCCTCCTCTCCTGCCCCTAATTGTTCCTGCTCCCAAATCGCCTAAGGCTCTTCCTCTGAATTCGATCATTCATTCATTCATTCCAATCATTCATTCATTCATTCGAGTACCTCCATGTGCCAGGCATTGGGGACACACAGCAGTGATCAGGACAACCAAGAATTCCAGCCTGGCGAGAGCTGACATACTGTTGGGAGAAATGGACAAAAACAAGAGAAATAAGAAGAATAGGCACCACAGCAGAATGTGAGAAAAATAAACAGGAAGGGGGGGAGTCTCTGTAGGCTCCATGCAACTATCATCCCCCATCCCCAGCCAGGAGCCAGACCCCATTTCCCTTTTCTCAGCCTAATTGGGGGAGGATCCTAGGGCATTGTGAGTAGGGGAAGCAAGCCAAGCTGGAGACTCTTCTTTCCCAACAGTGGCCCCTCCTGAGCCTGTTTCCCCCTCGCCCCCCCCCCACAGGGGGGCTCACAATCCACGCCTCTGGGGTGGGTACAGGGATTAAATGGATTGCTCTGTGTGCAAAGCCATAGTGCACTTGTGAGCACTTAATGTGTTTGCTCTTCTCATGATCAATATGATTGCTTTGGTTCACAGTCAACTTCTGAACAGCAGCTCTCCTCATTCCTATTTCCTCTCCCATCCCATGTGCTTACATATGTTCCCTTTTTTGATTAAACACTTACCTTTCAACACTATTACAAATACAAAGTTCAACAGGCATGAAAATGTAAATGACAACTATCTCCCTCTTTTGCCTACCATGGCTCCCAGGTGGCCACCACAGGAACAAGTTATGTAATTATGTTTATGTTTCCCTGCAAAGGGTCTCCGCATCGTCATCATCTCTTTCTACACAAAGCAAAGCTTCCTGCCCAGGCAGGTGTGCACCTTGCTCTTTCCTTCGCCAAGTATCCCGGAGGTCTTCCCACATTGTCGGCATTTCGCTGCCCTGTTCTTCTGCAGTGCTGAGAATGGCCAGAGTTTGTACAGCAAACCCCCTGTGGCTGGGCATTTGGGTCATTTGAGTCTGGTTGCTGTTACAGAGAATGCCATGATGAATCCACAGCCCTGTAGAGTAGGTATCACTCCTGGGAGGTTGATTTGCTGGAAGGAGACTTGCTGGGTCCCAGGGCATTGTCTTCAGCTTCCGCCTGATTCCCTCTGTAGGCTTGGCCATTTCCACCCCTGACGGCAGCAGTGAGAATCAGTGCAGACCCCTGAGAATAAACTGAAGTCTTACACTTTTCAGCTTTGTCAGTCTAACAGGTGGGAAACAGCCCCTTGTGATTCCTCTCCACCCCCCACCTTTTCAACTTCTTTAAAAAAAGATTTTATTTATTT